TTGCAATTTTCAAGCCTCAGAAATGTGCAGTTTTGCTAGCATGAAATGTACGAGTCTTAAAAAGGGAATGCAGGGGGAACAGATGGTGCAGAACAAGTTTACTGATTGCATCTGTGTCTGTTCTTTGTAACTTCTATGCTTTTTAAAGAAAATAAAAATAAATTCAGAAAGCATTTTGGAGAGTTCTCTCCCTTTTAAGTACTCAGATACTGTGACTCAATGCTACTGGAACCTCCAGGATATGAGCAGAAAAGGCATAAAATACTTGAAAGCACCTTAAATACACACTATCCCAAGGTTCTAAGGATGTCTCAAGGATCACGTAGCAAGTGTGTTTTGTTTTCCCTGCCAAAATTCCCAACCCAGCCTGGGTTTCAAGACTGAAGCTTGGCTTTTTCTTGCCCTTCATATCTAGGGCTAAGTACATTCAGTTGAACAATGCTTCTATAGCACTATTTGCTAGGCTGAATGCAAGTAGGCCTGTTACCATGAAGAAGTTTGCACACGTTAAATTTCTAACTCACTGTTTGTCAGTTATAACTCTCACAGACCTCCATGACTAGAGCTGTGCAACAAGGATGTGCTGTGTTAAACCAGTAAAACTGATGTAGCTCAATTCAGACTTCAGTTCTCCTCCTGCCTCTGCAAAAATAAAAAGACCAAAAAAAAGCAATCCACCAAAACCACCAGTTCAGGCAGGATGGATAAAAATTACAACTACATATTTACATGAACATGTACCATGAATATTTTGAATTTACTTGGTATGGTGAAATATTAACTGTTTTCTCATGAAAATTCACAGTAAGAAAAAGATGAGTCAGAACAAAGTAATTACTCGACTGTTTTTTTTTTTCCAAGTAACATTTATTAATAACATTCTTAAAATGATAACTTGAGTCATAAGGGAGGGGGCTGTTGTCAGTAAACATACAATGAAAAGGTAGCAAGATTTTTATGTGTATGACTAAAAAGGCCTTTAACATAGTGTTTAGCCCAACGAAATTTAATATTAAAAACATTCGAAATTGCTAAGTGTTGCAATCAGTTCTATTGAACTTATAAAAACCTCACTTCAGTAGTCAATACTAACCTATTACTTATACAAAATTTTAAACTCCATTCCTAATTTTTGTAAACAAAGCACCTAAGCATTTGAAAGAAAAAAGTTAGTTTACATCCCATTAAACTGCAGCACATGTGTGTGAAACCTCAGGCGTGATCAGGCATGGAGCACAATTAGGCACAGAAGAAGACAGAGTTTCTATAGCCAGCTGCTGATGCTGCCTTATGTTGCCAAAGATCTTAATTTGTATTAACTCCGTTATCATTTATGGCTGAAAATGTAGCAAATCCTCCATTCAGATTACTTCAAAGAGAAAAAGGAGTCATATTACATAGATTTGTGAAGCTTCCAAGAGCTCCGAGTAGTGCATGAGTTTGAGTTACGACTTCTTTATCTCTTTCAGGAATTTTCAGAAACTTCTTCATAACTATTTAACTTTGGCAGATCCTGGGCCTGACAAAGAGCATCAGAAGACAAGTTTTCAGTCTGCTGTTGGCACACTGAGGTATGCTGTAATTTATTAAATGCCACTCAAAAATTTGAAGATGGTGCACAAGATCATTGTATTCTGAGGCTGTCAGCTCAAGCTTAGGTCAAGAAAGTCAAGAGGCGCAACTACTAACAGGAAAACTGTTAGTAATTTCTGGTTTCTTACAGAAGCTGCAAATAAGGTGGTTATCTTACCCACATCAACTGGTACCATGGTCAATCTGTGTGAATGGCAACAACTGATACTCGGGCTGTAAGTTTGTCTGCTCCTGACTCTTGGGAACAGAAGTTTAAATTTGATATAAATTATATAAAGCAGGGCACTTGCAGTAAGCCTTTGTTAACTGCCCATACAGATTTACAATTGTCTTCATTAGCACACTTCCAAAGTAAATCTAGCTAAACTAGATTTAACCTGGGTAAGTTTTCCTGAGCTGACATGCCCCAAACGAACTATAAATGTTGCGAGGGGACCTTCAGATGAGCACTGAGGCACTTGCGTGAGGCACTGCAGGAAAGTCTGCACTGACACTGCCCAGCATGTGCTTATTCGGTTGTTTTCTCCAGGTTCTTGAACTTGTACTGACTGTAGGAATGACATTCATTTAAAGAATAGGAAAAACGTTTTAAGGACGACCTGACATTAGCACTAAGTGAACTCAGTTGTCTCCTGTTGTTGCCTTCTCCAATTTTCTTTGGTGTGAAGTGTTAGCATTACAGCTATACAAATTTCCTACACCTAAACCCCCTCGATTTGCAGTTTCCTGAAAAAAGAAAAAGTGTCAAACAAATTCAAAACTCTTCTAAATGCAAACTAATGTTCAAACTATTTCTCCTTTTCCAAGTCTTTAAAAGCTAAAACAAATGAAGATGAAACAAGTTAAACACATGCAGTGGCCTTAACTAACACAGGCACTACTAGCACTATTCAAACCTGTTGTTTTGTCTATCAATTGCAAAGAATTTTCAAAAATAGTTTTTAAAAAAAAAAAAAAAATAGTGTAGAATCAAAAGCTAAAAAACCCTGTCATGTCTTCCCCCATCCCTTGGAACTGATCCACAGCCAAATGAAGAGCACAAATAAAGACCTAGTTTCAATGGGTAGGAGAAGAACCAGGCCAGAGTTAACTTTACACCCCGCCCACCCAAATAGCACTTCTTGAGCAAAACCCCTGTTGCTTCTCACACCATTTTGTGTGCCAACTATTCCAGAAGCTGCACCTAAGTTTCCAGGACCACTGTGTAAGTACCTCCCCTTTAATTTTTTTTGGAAATGGTTGGTGATGTGTATAATCTGAAGACTTGCATCAAAGCTTAACAATTTTTACAATTAAGGCATAAGCCAATGATACCAGGAGGGAAGGAGGTGGAGAAGAGCTCACAACCCCAAGGTAAATTTGCCCTGTTATCTATTTTATGGCTTACGAAGTACTCAGACAAACATTCACACTGTTTATTCACTTACTTGTAGTAATGGAACTATAGTCTCATTCTATGGTTACTTTACTATTGATCTTTGTATTCGAAATCTGGAAAGAAATCCTATGAAGGGTACTGTGATTTATTTTTTTTTTAAATGAAACTTGACTAGTCTTAATCAAAATTAAGAAAAAAATTTCATTCAAACTGATATGGGTAAGCAACTTTTATAAAAATATACTGTATAGAAACACATTTGGAAAATTGCATAGAAAATATCCTTTTATTTAAATCAAAATAAGGCACGGTTTTACTAGCTATGGTTTGGCTGTAAAAATGCAAGTCTATTTTGATTACTTTTACGTTATTAACAATATTTTCCATAAAAATATAGGTATGGGAATAAAAACCCTTTTATACAGAGTGGGAAACACTCTATTGTAAAACTTCACCAAATATGCTGTCATTGATTTGTAGAAAATTTGAATACTATTTTAAATCAGGATCCTACATGTTATTGTCCTCCAAGCTGTTCACTGGCTGATGCTGTGCTTTCTTCATTTCCTGTATAATCCAGGTGTTCCATCATCTAAATGTAAAAAGAAAAAACATAGGTACCTTTATAAAGAAATACTGCTTTTCCCATCAGTCCCAAGTATTTGTTAGCTAAGAGAAATATAATTAAACATGTGTTAGAGTGCATTTTAGCAGCATACAGATAGGAAGTCCTCTGCAGATCAGAAGAGTATTCAAGCCAAATAATCAAAGCTTTTTTAGCTAATGCTTTCCACCTACAAAAGCGTTCTCCAACCAAGGATTCAAGTCCTCTACGAGAGATTAATCTTGTATGTCAAAAGTGTCTCATTTATTAAATACAGGAAACAAATAAAAAAAATGATTGGGGTAAAGCAGATTTTTCAAAGATGTGGTAACGTGTACAGGTAGCAAGCAGGATTCTACCTAACGTGTACAGGTAGCAAGCAATAGCTTGTATAAAAGACATGAGCTTTTTCTTTTCATGATTGTAAAGGCTACCCATATTACAGTTAGTAGAAACCTACTTGATTTGCAACATTTCTTTGTACTTTTCCTTTATTTTTAAAAAGGATAAAGGAAATGGAATTGTAAAGTCCTGCAACAGAGGAGAATCTGAACCAGACTGTTAAATAGATTGATCATACTTTCCAATTCCTGTAACTGATTAGGTCACCTGAATAACACAAGACAATATTGTATTTTTCCTGACTTAAAAGCAGCCTGTTTCCTTACCCACTGCTGTATTGCTAGAGCATAATGAAGACTCTGGTTTCTTCCCTGAGACAAAGCACTGAATAAATTACATTGGTAATACACACATTAGTTAGTGTGACAAACCAAGACCCATCAGTTTGAGGGCTTCAGAATTAAGCATAATTAACAAGAGGCCAAGGACTGGACAGTTCTGATAGCTGACAACCAGAGACAGAACATACAGGAGTAGTGAAACTAATGTTGAAAACCAGAACGAGTCAATTTGTTCACATACGCAGCATGGCAGGATTATTAGGACAAGGGTATAATTTCAGCATCATGAAGTAGAAAACTCTACAGATGTTCTTCCATAGTGGCACATCCTGCCTAGTTGTAAAAAGGCTCCCTGTCTTTCTGTAAAACAGCTGCTTGCTGCATGGGTTCTAAACTGAGCAGATTTCCATGCGATGAGGACACGATTGCTTTCTCGTCTTACTAGAGCCCACTGCTTGCCAGGCTCTGACACTGTCAGGTTACACGCACTTTCGTGTGGTAAAATTCCATATATATAGGGCAAAACCAGTATTCCTTTAACTTTCTTTCTCTAGTCATGACTCATCTCTGTGCCATACAGCTTCTTCTATGGCAACAGAACCGTTTCACTGCAAGGTGTACAAACATACCTTATTAAAAGCACATTTGTTTAAACAAGCCGTTTCCCAGTCCAGACATGCCAGCACACCATGCAGTAAGTTGAGATGACAGTTTCAAGGCAGAAGCAGGTCACTGGCTCTTGGGTAAAGCTTAGGAGAGCCTACTGGCCACAATATCAATTTAACTAAACGCAGAAAAGGTCTTTCATATCCCTCCCTTCACATATCAGAACTAAGACAATAAGAATTAAGGCAGGCACTAGTATTAACAATATACCTAAGAAGCACAATATAGCAATAGCACACACTCAGTCCAGCAGTGAATACCAAGCTCTTGTGCTAATGACAACCCTGTATTCACTTCAATGTATCTAGAACTTTCACCTTGCACCGAGACCAAAAACCGTCATCAAACCCACATCAAACCACCCAAAGCAAACCACTCCCTACAATTACAGAAGTCAAACCCTCAGTTTGAATGAGGACTGAAGTATTTGTTTCCGGGAAAACACAACAAACCTCCACATGGCACCACATTACATCAAGTAATGTCAGGTTATCTTTCTTCCTTCTAGGGAGGATCATCTAACAACTGGCATAGAGAAGGTAGTTTTGGTAAGCTTTTTTGCAAAATGTTTTCCTATTAAATTGACAAGATGCTTCCAAAAGAAGAGTTAAGACTATTTGCAACAATTCAGCATATCCCAAAGTCAAAGATTCTTCTCTTCATCCTACAACAAGGTAAGTAGCACAAGACATACTTATGCTGGAGATACCACTTCTAGTTAAATCTTCAAGTCTCTGCTTAATATAGCAGATGTTTAAGTTAACTTTTAAACCAAAATGGCTAGTAAAGCATAAAGGGTGTTTGGGTTTGGTTTGGTGGGGTTTTTTTATATGCATAAACATTATAAAGCCAAAAAAAAAGCCATCCCACCTCATTTCTAATCTCTCCACCATATAGAAGAAGGATAACCCACAACTTGAAGGCAGGGATAAACAGATGCCTTTCTAAAAGTGTATCTCTGTTGTAGGTTCTCTGGGCAACCCCATACTCAAAGTCCCAGCAGAAGCTGCAGGAATCTTCATGACAAGCAGCAAGACGAACACACCATGCTAAAAATCATGGTGCAAAGTTATTTCAAGCCTCAAAAGAGCCAGAGCAATCAGACCGTATGTTGTGGAGAGCTGAGGAACATTTAGAAGCTTTTCTTTCACGTTTGAGTTCCTGACAGTTTTTAAGGGGAAGAGGGATGCAGAGTGTCAAAATGGGTTAAAAGTAAATGTTTTTTAGTTACAAAGCTATCTCCTAATATGGTGAACTACCAAAACCCCCCCAAAAAAAACCCCACAGCCAAACCCCCCCAAACCACACACAGAGAGTGAAACTAGAAATGGCAATACATACTCCTACCTGTGAAAGAGCACATAGTACCTATGCACACACTTGCCTGCAAGCTTCACTCTGATGTTGTTGCATTCACATAATTCTTAACAACCTATAGCTATGACTAATTTGCAAGTATCTAAAAATGTGATTTAAAATGACAGTACTACAGCAGGTGCATGCTGTGTAACATGCCAATGACAAATCTGTTGATTTATTACTTCAAAGAGAGATAAGAAAGCTCACTGAACACTTCAAACTGACAGACTGTAAAAAGTTGCTGGACTACTCTACCTACAAGACTTCAAAGTTGTATTAGTCCACTACATTTTTCATGGTGTTACTAAAATGATTTCTTAGCCTGTACTGATACAAAAACCAAATAGTATTTCTAAAATAAATAACTTGGAAATAAGTATCAAATTAGTTTATCATGCAGGCATGAATGAGGAGTATAAGCAATTCAGAAAACCTAGGAAAAAACCTTTATTATGCACTTCTTGGCAGCAATATCTCCTACATTTGGTGGTAGGAAAGTTGGTACATTACTCTCCCCAGAAATCCCTGTGCTTCAGTAAATAGTTAAAATGTTTTTCCGTGCAACAACTCATTACAGCTCAAGACTACTCCATAATAAAGCCACACATGGCCTAACTAGAATTCAAAAGTGCATGTTTCTGTCTCATTATGCAGAAACAGAAATGCTCCCAGCTAAGAATTATGGGATGTCAGAGCTATCTTAGGGAGTCAAGTATTTCCCACATGTATAAAGTAGAAACTAAAAAACTGATTTTAACAATCCTATCCAAGAACTTGAGTGCACACAGCAGGACACAAGAATCTTATGTTATAAAAATACAGTCTGTTCATCTGATTTTAATCTGCACTCAACCGCTCCCACTTCCTAATCTCTTCTTGGGTTTGTATCTAATTTATTTATTATTAAAGCTTTTTAATGGGACTTAAATCGTTAAAGTACTCTTTATTAGAAGAAAGAGGATAATAAGAAAAGTATTTTTTAGTTCAGAATTTAAGACAGACAGAGTTCACCATCTCAAACTGTCTTCAGTGTAATGGGCAGACAAGCTATGCTTTATAAGCAGATGGGTAACTAGACTGCCGACTACAATTCAAGATTAAACACTGAAATTCTGCAAGAATATGACATTTGAAAGCTTGCATTGCTCTCTCCGTGCTGTGCTTGAGACAGTAGACAGTTGAATACCATCAGTGTTAGCAGTCATGATCTATAGCCTAAGGTTAAACCTCTCACTGCAGTCTAAAAGCTGTGCAGCAGGACCACAAAAGCTGGTCCGAATCCTTGCTCCCCATCCCACTGCAAGCAAGACAGACAGCACAGGATAAATGTACTGTTGAGTAGTAAGACGACAGGGGGACTGTAGACATGGTACTAAAGACAAATCATAATGCTGAATATTGTAACGGAGGACAACAAAATTGTGATGAGCACTAAGCATTTTTTCATGTCAATGCAGTGGCACAGAAAAATTAGGTGAAGGACTTCCATACAGGTAGAGAAACTAAAACTAATTCTAAGTATTTAAAGACACTCCTAGAGATTAGGGAAATTATAGTGTAGAGAGGCATACAAAGCCTGCCTTCAGGCTTAGGAATCATGGTTCCATTGCTACTTAAGTTTTCCTGTATTCCTTTCAAGAAAGAAAGCAAACCCAACCCAAACACCTAAGCACAAAACGAGATTTATAGCTTGTCTTCATTGCTACCCTCTTCTATTTAATTACTCAGAAAAAAAATAAAAATAAGATAGACTCATAAAGGAAAAGATGAAGCAGAGGGGAAAAAAGAAACCATAAGATGATTAATAAAGTTGCATTAAAATAAGGCCATAATCACACCTTGTAGCAAAGGCGTCCTGGAGGAGTCCGATACCTAAACAAAATTCATTCCATTATTAAAATCATACACAACAGAAATCAGAAAAACCCAAAACTCAACAAAGCTAACTAATGGTCTATAACAGCAGCATTCATGAAGTTTAGTCACCTGATACACTGTACATGCTCTTGTACCCCTATTCTTAGGACACTTTGTTGTCTGCAAGGTTTCTCTGCTTCCACGAGGACAAAACAAACCTCTGCAAAAGTCTGGCCACCCTTGCCAATGGGGCAGCTCTGCTCCAGTCCAAAATGACCCTTGGTGTAGCAAAAGACAGCCTTCTGTCACCTTTCTATATCTTTGCTCCTCAGAATGAGCAATTAAAGCTAGAGATTTCAACCCCGGGGTTGTGTGCATGATTGATTTGGGGAGGTTTTTTGCATGTTTGTTTGTAAGTTCAGTAATGACAGTTCAAAATACAGCTTCAGGAAAAAGATCAACACTGCAGCATTCTGAGAGTGCAACTTGAATAACACCCTCTGGAAAAAAATCATATAGAAAATGTTCTTCAGAAAGTTACAGAAAAATAGGAGTCAATAAAGTTACACTGAGCTGTTCAACCAGACAAGTCTAACATAGGGGTTGTGGAGTGGGGGTTCTCTCTGGCACATTTTAAGTTGTGCCAGAAATGAAGCCATCTGACTGCAAAACAAGCTGAAGTTGATTAGTTTTAATCCTTCAAGAAATCAGTTGAAAGGACGTGAAATAACTACTATGGCAACATAATTCTTGCAAGTATGAGTTTTGCTAAGAGAAGTGCAAGAAATTTTTCTAACTAAAGAGCGTTGCCAATTCTACTCAGGCCACTCTCACTCGGAACTCAACCGAGAAAAATAAATTGCAAAGTTCCACCCCCCAGCAGGCCCAGAGTTACTGGGCTTCGTATCTGTGACACTCTTACTTTAGAATAGCAGTCACCAATTTCTGTACAAATGCATGGTAAGCCAAATTCATCCTGACCTACAAAGAAACATTTCCATTTGCTGGATCTATGAAAGGAGGAGAGTTGGTTCTGTAGACAAAAGGACAGGATATCTAGTTAAAGCTGAAGGTCTCCTGAGTAATTCCACACCTAACTAACCTCCAGCTGAAGCAGGTGTAGAGTACTAGTCAGATCAACAAAAGCTAGTTTTGATAATACTGTAAAACTGGTAATACTATGGAAGCTGCATGCCTGTAGTTCTACATTTACAAGAATTACCACCGCTTGACTTAAACCTTACAATGCAGAATTTGAAAAGGCAGGAGCTGCTCCCTTCCACCATCAACTTCACATCACCCACCTCCCCTGGCAACAGACTACCCATTCTCTGAGCTGAGTTCCACATAGCCTAAATACAGGTGATAGTTTCTGAATTCAAACAATATTGGACTACAGGTCTCAAGCAAGATCTAGAGTAACCTCAAGACTGGTCCGTATTATGATAAATGCCAGCTCACAAGAGCTACTGGCACACTCTGTTACTACAGCAAGTCAAATCGTGGGGAACGTGCACATGTCAAGAGGCAGAGACAGATGCTGGTGGGATTCAAAGACTGCAAATCCTGGGTAATGTTAGAAATAACCAAAGGGGAAATGCAGAATACCCATGGCAGAGTGCACACTGCTGTGATAGAAAACAGTTCTATAAACACCCAGCTATTTTGTTGCTGAATGCTTCATATAATCCTGGTTATGCAGGAAAGTTTCTAAAATTGTAGCTGATCAACTCACCTGAACTGTCTCTTAATAGAGGACTACTGCAAATTGTAATCTGCATACTTAGTTTAATGACTCATGTTATACCACATCAAGATGACAGTTGAGGAATCTTAAAACATGAAAAAAAAAAATTCCAAAGAAAATAAAAATAGGACAAATTACTTTCTCTATGAGTACTGAACCAGCTATTTCATCTCCCTTAAGCTTTGTTCTGCCTTGCCAACTACTAGACTAAGATTTTCTAAGCATAAAGACTATTTTTCCTTATTAGTTTCAGAAGATAACAGGAAGACTAGCAAAAAACGGACTATGGGCAGTATATTACCAAGTACTTCTAGAAGCATACACTCAAAGGAATTAACTACAACATATACAGCCTACCTGGTAACTGCTTCCTTTCCAGAACTTCTTCATCTCTTTGCGCCTCCAAGCAACAAGCGAGCTAGTGATGAGTGTACATGGGACAAGATAGAGAAGGGCAGGTTGTCCCATCTTCATTAATGCCAGAACAACAAAGGTCAGCACCATACCAATGGCATAAGCTATAAAAAGATATTTATATGTACAAAATCAAGAACAGGTGATTTTTTTTAAATTAAGTCATTTATTTAGTAAGCCAGAATTATTATTTGAGTAATATCTTCCTTTATTAATACAACTGAACAAAAGGTAGACAGTAGGTTGCTCTGTATTTGCAAGCTTTCTCTAAGCAACTGACTACCATAAATAACGCTCACTTTAAATATGGGCAAGCACATTAAAAAGAGATCATAAAAAGATTCTTGCCAACATTGAACCTTTACCTGCAGAAAGCTACCTGGTTATGCCATTTAAAAAAGCTAGTATGAAGATTTAACATTGCTGAAATATCACAATTTACCTATTGTACAGGAAATGTAGTATACAGAAGAGGAACTTGTCTGAACATCAAATCTCCGACAGTAGGCAACTAGAAGCCCTTGAAGGGAAAAACGAAACAAAACAAAAAGATTAATGAACTATTTAGCCACGATTTTTTTTCTCCCCAGTCCTCCAGATCAAAGCAGCATAAAAAGAATTTATGTTAAGACATCCCATTACTGTATTTTATTTTCTTGCCATTTATTTCTGGAAAGCCAAGAACCAGTTTAAGAAATTCTACAGTAAGTCTTGAAAATCAAAACCATCATAAGCCAAGTGAGCTTGGTATTAAAAGGCTTTCTTTTTCTTTTTTAAACAAGCTAAATACACTGTGCTATTTTCAGTTTTTTAATACAGAAGGGTAACAGCTTAGTTCTAATACTTCCTTCAACAGGATTTTAATGTGCACTTTTAACAATCAGCAATTTTGCCTGCATGCTGTTCACACGATGGTGTTCTGTGCCTGACTTCATTTGCTCAAGACTCCAACTATGGCAAAATTCAGCTCTTCTAAGAAAGATGGAAAAATTTGATAATATATTTTCCATTACCTCACCTCCAGTTAGGTAGTCTAGGATACAAAAATATTATGAACTCACAGAAGAGTTGCTTCCTGTGAGATTTCAATGAGATTTAATTAATACTAACAACTGGATTTATCTGCGGGACTTGTATTTACACAATACAGTGCAATAGCAAAGCAAACCCCTTCACTATGTAAGTGTTCTTTAACATACTAATCTGTCTTACATTGTGGCTTTGGTTGTATTTTGCATAACAGATAAAGCCAAACTGCTGCATCTGATTTAGTTGTTGAATAAACTGAAACGTAAGTCAGTTGAGAATCAAACACAAGATATTTAGTTGTAATTTACAATTACCTAAAACACATTTGCTCACCTGGTACAATAATGTCTCCAAAACCCAACAATGAAAATGGCATGTCACACAGTGTCGATGCAGAGTATTCAAGTCTGGGCACTCTAATAACCACAGGTAACTGTAAAACAGTATTTCAGAAGCCCACATAAATCTAATCTAAAGCATCCTGGTGTTTTGGAGCTTTTTTGATTGTTTGCTTAAATTAATAGACAGTTTAAATATAACTAATTTATTGTTAATGCAGAACTTCAAAAATAGGTAGAACCTGAAGTAAAACCAGAAACCAACATAGAGAATAGATAAATCTTAAGGCAGCAGGTAAGCAGGAATTTCAGATTTACAAATAATATGCACACACAAAAATAAAATTAAAACATCAAACCACATAATGGGAATTACATATCTGGATTATTACCCTAACTAGAGAATATTGATCAATGATATCCAGGCCCTGGAGAGAAATTTGGACAGTCAGGTTTTCCCCAAAAGAATAGTCTTTTCAGAGGGAATAATTTAAAAATCCAGTATCTGAAATACAATCCTTACTTTCTCATGGGGAGCTGAGCGTTCAGTAGGGACTTCCACCAAGTTTCCATCATTCTAGGATCAAACCCAAGTCAACAGGTATTTAATACTTAAAAGAAAATAGCAGAAGCTGGCTATATTTTGCGAGAAAGTTATGCTGAAAAGCACACTAAGAATTAGCTACGCAGTGTCAGTATTTTTATGTTGCGCACATTAAAACAACTGTTCATACCTTTTCACTGTTTCCAAAAGGACCAGCTGCAACTTCAACCATTATACTTGCCCCATTCTGAAATTAAGGTTATTTTTCAAAAATTAGTGACTTAATGTACCAAAATATTCATACTACACTTAAAAAAATCTTTACAATTCAGGATTGAAAAAATCCTGAACATCCAAAGGAATGTACTAGTATTGGACAGTATTATACAGTATTGTTTTGCATTGAAAACATGTATTCCAGCCTAAAATAACTTTTAAAAAACCCACAAACAACAATCCACTAGACGTAGCTGGAAGTTAGATAAAAATGTGTCAGCTTTTTCTGCCATGAGCTTTCTGCTCCAAAATAAAAGGTACACTTGCTATGGTTCACACTGCACTGCGAAGGAGCACTGCAGAGAGTACTAGAGCATGTTTCAGTATGGGTGTTGAAAGCAAAAGCAGGAAGAAAACTGTAGGACAGTAATTTCTCATCATCGTGCTGTCACACAATTGGGGACAGCTTACTTTTGGCCACGTAATTGCTGAAAACTCAAGTAATTTAACAGAATTTATGGCACCTACACAAGCATTATGCTCAACAGCCCATACAAGATGAAAGTTTAGGCCACTGCTGCCTTACATGAAGAAAAGGAAGTTCATTCCTGCACTGAGAATACTGCAAATACTAATCTGTTTGACAAAAATACTGCCCCAGTGACTAGCCAACATTTTTTTGTTTTATTTTAAAGATAAATTCACAGACATACCTTTGTGATAAATGGCGTTATGAAGACAAAAAACACATCATATAGAAGGAGAAGGCCCAGAAGTATCACACAGGACTGTCCAAAAACCAAAAAGAAGTAGAAAATATGACCATAGGTTTTCAAGGACTGCACAGTTGGATTCTGGTACCACTGCACCATGCTGCTATGTTAAAAAAAAGGAAGAGCCAACCCCCACCTCTCCTTGTTTTTATCCTGGCATGGCATACAGAACAGGATTAATTTGTATTAAAAATGTTACAGATTTTCTTAACTTAAAGGCTTTCTTCAGTGTTAAAAACCTACTTCCTGCTACTAAACTTAGATTCATGGCATTAGAATACTTCCTTAAGGTAAGCAACTTGCAGTACCTTGAAGTTGGGCATCTTCAGTGTTTTAATAAAGTTTAGGCAGAAAGCAACTCCCAAAATGTCTTGCAAAATCCAAGCCCACCTAAAAACAAGAATATATTTTTACACATTGTTCAAACTACTGCTGGAGTCTAAGTGCAATAATGATTTTAGGTTTTGCTAGAATGTATATTCTACACCATATAATGCTGTGCTCAGCATACAAAGCTGGTTGAAGGAGGAAGGATATTTGGAGTGATGGCATTTGTCTTCCCAAGTAACCATTACATGTGATGGAGCCCTGCTGTCCTAGCGATGGCTGAACACCTGCCTGACAATGGGAAGTAGTGAATGAACTGCTTGTTTTGCTCTGCTTGTGTGTGCAGCTTTTGCTTTACCTATTAAACTGTCTTTATCTCAATCCACAAGTTTTCTCACTTTTACCCTTCCAATTCTCTTCCCCATCCCCCCAGAGAGGGCTTGCTCCAGGTGTCTGTCTGGGGCTTAATTGCTGTCTGGGGTTAAACCAGGACACTTCATCAGCATACTACAGAGAAAACAAGCTGAACAGAGGCCGTAACAGGGCTTTGGTGCTCACTTGTACGATTGCTCACTTGATTGGAAGCCCTACTTAATATCTGGCTCAAGATGCTACTTAGGATTTTACTGCAGTATTTGTGTATTTATGGTCCTGTGCTTCCACAGGAAGCACAGGTCTTACAGTCCCTGGGCTATATTTGCACTTTTTTTTTCTTCATTAACCATCAAGTTAGTTCTTCCTCATCTTTATAATTTTTTGTAACTTCAAATTACCACACAGTTCATTTGTATAGCTTTGTTCTCCATTATTCCCATGCTCATTAAGCTTCATAAATACATTTATGACTTTTTTGAAATCAGCACTGAGTATAGACGGATGCTATGCTCCAGGATTAGTTATATGACGGGAAGTTCATTAATGACAATTATTCATACTACTCTTTTAAGTCAGAATACATCACTTACCTATCTTCATTTCGAAACACTGCCCAGACGACAGCTGCTGCTATGCAGAATGCAGCAAGAAAAATAAGCCTCACTTCAATGCTTTTGTTGCAACATGCAATCCTAGAAGAAAATAATTTAATTAAAAAAGAAAGCTGGCAACAGCCAAAACATATGCCTGCGCTATCATGGGTCCTCAAGCTGACAACGTATTCTCACCCTGAGAGCTTCTCCTTTTGCCCATTTGTTCTATCCAGCCTCAGGTGGCATTATACTTGCAACTGTCCTTCTCTGGGCTGCAGTTAGAACATGCCCAATGATAAGCCAAGTTGGGCTTTGATGGCCAGTCCTCATTTTAGCAAACACATCCAGGGAAGGTGGCAAGCAAATGAATTTATTTAATCTGTGTCATTTAACAACTATGCCAACAGAACTGTGTAAGCGCAGGATACTTAACTTGGAGTAGTAAGGAAAGGCTATCTGCACACTGGTAACACACTTCCCGAGTTAGAACTGTAACCACTAACTTTAACACAGAGGACATGAGCAATGTGTTGCCTTCACAAGAAAAAGTTAAAACTTGGTCTGTCACAGGTACAGTACAGACTAACATGAGGCAAAACAAAACCTCTATTGCCAATAGCACAATACTTGCTTGAAACAGGGCCAAATGTGCAGGCTTTCTCCTTACCGAGTTCCTTGGTGAACAAAGTGAGCGCACCTGAGTGAGCACACCAAAGTGAGCACAAGCCGAGCCCAGATGGCCAAGCAGAGCTTTTCAAGTTTGCTTATAGCAATGCTTTCAAATAAAAGTAATGCAGCAAATGTCCTGCAATACTATTTTAATTGATAATTATACTACAAATACCTTTAGTATCTTTTAAAGGAGCTTGTAATTTTCTTTCTTAACAATCCCACATACTAAACCATTTAGGAAACAATTTGTCAAACTGCTCTTGTGTTTTCACACTACCTTGAGCAGCAACCAGAAAATACCCCAAAGAAACCTTCCATTTATAATAACTGAAAGGTGTACAATACCTGCACTGCCCAAATGGTATTTCTCCTATTAATGCTGCAAGACAGTTGTACAGACTCATTGCAGATGCCAAGCAGAAGACTGATATTATAACATACACTGAATAAAAAGAATGGAAGATGGGAATCAGTGACAAAATACAATAGGGAAAAAATCACACGAGAATCAAACACAACAATGTACATTTGATATAAACTGTTAGCAGTTATAGCACTGCTCAGTACAGTCACGGGAGCCTACATTAGCTGATTACAGAAAGTGCTGAATTCTGAGTGTCTCTGCCATGACAAGAGTTCTCATTAGGCAAAGACCTGACATTTGAAAGTTTATAACTGACCCCCCTTTTTTTTTTTTATATTTTTCCTCCCTTTTATTTAAGAAGAAATAAGTCACCTGTTACTGCTTTCACATACTTCTACTTGGGTTTAGCCAAATAAAACAAAGTGCTATTTTACAAAACTACCAGCTTTCTCAATTTCTGGTAATACTTCTCACTTTAACTTTCCCTTCAATCACTTTGTGTGCTTATGCCTAAGATTTCAATATCCCCAAGATTTGGCTGATGATTTAGGTGGTATTTTAAGATACTGAACACCTCGTTCCTTCCAAAAACTTGTATGTAGTTAGAAACCACCTCGTTAGGAAAAACCTCTATATTCCATGTTCTAACTTATAGTATATCGTGTAGTCTAACTTACAGTAAGCACCCTGGAACATTTACAAACAATAAGACCAGTTGTTTGCTAGTTGTTTTAGGATTTTGGTGGGGGTGGTTTGGGGTGGTTTTTCTTTGCTAGTGAAGGTCTGACTAGAAAGCAATCCTGATACCTATGCAGAGATTATTGAGAAAATCAACCAACAGTTTGGAAACTGCGTTTTAGTGGAACTGCATTCATTCAAGAACTTAGCTTACTGCTAGCAAGATTGAGTTTATTCTATTGTGGTAATGCAATTTCACCTGTATTTTAATTAGGTCACTGCAACCTCAAACTCAAAGTCAATATAGCAATACCGAACAAAAGTTTTCACTCTAAACACCAGTAAGTTATCATTGCCATCCTTCCAAGAACATCAACATATATCATACACTTTCTTTACTAGTCACTGTCACCTTTACTCCACATTATTCAGAATAAGCACTGTCAAGGCAAACTTTCTAAGAGAACAGAAGACAACTTCTCTGTAAGTAGCAGCTACATCTTTTCAACCCTCGACTCATACGTGGAGAGAACAATTAATAAACTACATTAATGTTAGTTTAGAAATAGAGCTTTTTAGACTTGGGCACCTAATAAGTCAAATGAGATCATCCATTGTTTCTTACCTAACCATTTGTAGAAGAAATAAAGCAAGACCAGCATGACACAACAGATGACAACAAACAAGATAACTGTTACAGGGGTGAAAGTAACATTCTCTTCCTTCTTTCGTCTTGTTTCTCTCTCTCCAGGACTTGCTATTGCTTTCAAATTCTCACTGTTTTACAAGAACAACAAATATTTACCTTAGATGACAGGTTATGAAAAAGTTTTACTATAACCAGAATTGTTGCTACAAAGCATTTAGATTGACAGCATTCCAGGCTAATCCTTCATACCATTACTAGACTTTACTAAAAGAACAAAAAAAATGGTATGCCTATTGTTTGAGTTTCACTCCATTTTTTAATGGAGATATGCACTTCTAACCTAGCACAGATCACAAGGAAAAGATTCTTAATTGCCTTCCTTTCCAATTGTGTGGTGATTACCAAGGAGTACACCCAGCCAAACCCCGAATTCATGTGAGAAGTAGTCAGATATCAAAACTTTTCAACTTGTTTTGAGGATGCACACACTCAACTCTATTAGCATATCATCTCTGCCTACAAAATTTCTTGGGCTAAATATAGTCAGTCTGATAAATATGTCTATGATAAATCAAAATCACAGGTATTATACACTGTTTTAAAGCCTCCACAATAGGCATTAAGTGTCTGCAAAACCCATTCATGTCAGCAGAATGAAGCTAGTTAAGTACTAGTTCTTTTACCTTTACACCTTATAATTATAGAGTACGTGAAAGAGAGGGGGTGTAATTGGGGATTTTCACTGGGAGTAAGATTTCTGTGCATACATACTCCATATTTATACTTCACCATGCAAAATAAGGAGACTTAAATTGTTGTGTTTGTTCTTTGAGCGATAGCCCTTCTACTGTTCAGTTCAGACACTAGTGCAACTTGCCCATCAGATAGCATGTTCCTGACAAATCCCAGAACCTACCTACAAAACGCTGAATTCAGCACTGAAACAGCTACCTTCAAAAGGGAAAAAACCCCAGGAGTAAGGCACTTTGTTAGATGAATCACCTTCTCAGAGGACACACTTTGAATAAGCATTTTCTTTTGTTTTTAAAAAAGCTCACCCTAGATGTATGAAAGTGCATTCTAACAAGTTTCATCTAATTACATGTAGGTATTTTTCAGTATGGGAGACAGCATCACATTTTGTTATTTTAGCATTCAGTGCAGCCACACCCTACAGCACTACAGGGTGAAAAAAGCAGCATAATCAGATCCAACCTTTAAAAAGAGAAACACACCCACCCCTCCTTCTATTTCTTTAATATCTCTAAAATCACTAGATTTGCATAACTAGTGGGAAAGAGGAAGATGTAGTTATCACATACAATCCTTGCCCTGTTGTTCTGGGGAGCAAAGCATTAGAACACCACTGAGAATGGGAAGTCCTTGGTGGGCACAGACACCCAAGAAATACTGCAGAATAATACCATGCTCTTAAAGGCCAACTGTATCTAGTTAAACCCCTGACTAAAAAACAGCGGCGTGCATGGAGTACGCTTCACTTCAATTAAAGCTGCACACCCTTCAAGCATGGGGCAGAAACCCCCACAACTCCTTGTTTCCCTGCATTTGCCACATTCCACACTTCCACTCCCTCTCCTTCCCTGCATAGGAACTGCTGCTGCCTCCCTCTCCCAGCCTAGTCCTAGAGCTGCTATTGCCCCTGGCTCCGTTGGCTCCACCAGATAACACAAAGCTGAGGCAGATAAGCCCAGTTGGACTTTAATGATCTGGAGCCACCCAAACAACCAAACCACATTTCCCCAGTGCTCCTCGTGACAGGAGTGAGGTGCAGCAACATCCCAGAGTGCTGCACAGGCAGCTGGAATGAGGCAGTTGTAAGGATCCTTGCCAGTGCAGACACTACATGCAATTAAAGGTATCATTAAAATACCTACTTTCTATCATGGATACTGGAATATTATGATGCTGGTTATAGGGCATTTGGTAATTTGTCAAAATATTAACTCATTCCTCCTCCCAAGAGTTGCATTATCCCTCAGGGACTTTTACAATCTACTACTAAGGTTCCTCAAAGATCTCTGGTGATTTTTCAGAAGTTGCAGTGCTCAAGCATTTCATGACACAGCAGCTAATCAGACCTAGATTTTCTAATTTGTTAACTACCAACCTAGAAGAACGTAATTACCCACTGATCATAGTGTCAGTTTTCACAAAATCTGTAGTCCACATAATTTAAGCAGTTTTGTTTAACAAACTTACAGTTCTGCTACTCCACTCCAGTAGCCTCCTAGCGCCACTGTAAACACAGCAATTAGGAAGATGACAACCATACTGTAATCAAACTCTGGCAAAGGTGGTGAATACAGGGTCACATTAACTTCATTTCCAAGTGTCTGAAAAACAACATGCAAGTTGGTTTGTAAGGACAACAAAGAAATTACATGGCTTATTTTCAACATTATGTGCAGCATGAGTTCTTCCTCTTAACCTACAAAATGCTGAAAGCAAATTTTCAACATACTGCACAAGACAGCCCATATATTTGCCCTGGTCATTGTAAAGAAGCAATGCTTTCCATGCTACCTTTCAGGATGGTCAGGTTTGAAAACAACCTTATTACTACTGCTGTGGAAACACGGATACCACCCAACAAAATGGTACTTCTTTTAATTCTTCTGACACTTCTAAGTAGTTGTGCCTCTAGCCCAAATTCTTCTCATCCCCAAAGTATACCAAGTACTATCAAAGATGTCTGCTCTGCAGGAAAGCATATGCGAGTCAATCAACTCGAAACGCAAACTCACAGGTCTGCTGAGATATCAGCAGAGGTTTACCTTTACCTCTTGAAACCATGAAAGTCATAGTTCAGATACAGGCACAATGCTTCAGAAAGGACACAGTGAGAACTCAAGGTGGCAGAAAGTTACTTATTAACAGCTTTACACAAACATGATTTGAGATGGATTCAAAAGAAAAGAAAGCAATTTCACATTGCTTCAAAAATTTAAGACCCAATTAAAAAGTCAGCTGAAGGACACTGGAGATGGGAAAGCATGCCGAGACATAACTGATACCAAATTGTACCAAAGTCTTGAAAGCAAAACTAAGCTGCTTTCATTTGACTGAAAAGTGAGATATAAAAAACACAAAAAGAATGATAATTTGACAGGAAATGGAAAGTGGTAGGGAAGAAAGGTTTGCTTTTGTAGTCAAAGTACATGAAAGCATCTAAAGCAATCGTGCAGTGAAAATAGTCTTTAGAGATGCAGCAGCAGAACAGATTTGCTAACAGCCTGCATGTGGGATAAATGCAGAGAGCAGATGAACATGCCAGGCAGGTTTGGCTACAGGAAAATCAAACTGGCAGTGAAGAGACTGAATGGGAAGCTGAGTAGTGTAGTGGAATACACTGGCCATATGTGAAGAAAGCGGACTTATTTCAGCATCCAAATTATCTAATTACAGATATTAACCTTACTGCAGGCTAAAGAAGTCAGAACCATTCCTTTGCCTGAAGTTCTGGAAGTTCAGAAAACAAGAAAGAAAATTAAATTCTAGTGAAACATTACAGTTGTACGAAGTGGAAAATAACATTAAAGGCAAAAAAACCCTATTCAAACTACAGCATTCTGTATGTGAAAAAAAACCCCAAACAAACCAAAACACAGACACAAAAAAGCACCAACCCTCCTTCCGCCAGAAACCTGAAGGCTTATACATTTTTAGTATTTGATTCCAACATGTCTTAATACAGTTTTTCCTTTAAGTTTCATAAGCCTTAGAATCTAGTGTGATTGTTTCCTTTTGTTCCTTTTACTCTGCTTTTCACTAAGAACTTGCAAAGTCTCAACTTCCACCACAAGAAGCACTAGAATCGAATACATCACATGAGTTAACAACCCTGCAAGAAAGCTGACCACCTTACTGAAAGGTTGTTAACACTCTGCTGTTGCTACCACGACTCATAATATACCTGACTCCAATGATGAAAGCTAGCAGAGATAAGTCTTATATAAAAAAGTAGAAAGAACGCTTACACAAAGTAGCTAACCTCAGACTGGTGCTGTCTCTCTTCTAAATAAAAGGAGAAAACTGAAAGCCTTGGAAAGGGTTAAAACAGAAATACAACTGTAGTAGAAAGAGTACAATGGCTGCCAGCTTCTAAGCAGCATGTATCGTTCAAAACAACAGCTGCCAGTGACACAACAGAAGGCTTTGGAAAAAACTACATCAGAACAGGGAAAGGATCACTTGTGGTCTAGGCTGTGTTCCTCACTATTTTTACAAAGGCAGTCTCGTGATAAGACAAAACCAAATTCTTTGATTGAACAGCAGTATGAGACACCACCTGGCACACTAATCTACTAGTAAAGTTGCTTTGGTGAATTACTCTAGCTATAGAGAAGTGATTCTGCATGACACTACTCCAAGCAGCACTAGGCAATAACATGGTGCAGAGAAGATTCAGAACAAATTAGGGATCTAACCTTGCCCTAGGTCCTTTCCTGTTAGTAGGGCCTATCTTAAAACCACTCAACTAAGCAAACAACACTTGTCTTACTTGAAGGAACAAATTTGAAGACAGAAGACAACCCGAACCAAAATACAGTACGCATCAAGGCTCTGTCAGTGATGACAGTCATCACAAACCTTCAGTCATGTCAATGCTTGGCAAGAGCCAACCTTTAATGGGAAGAGGCAGTAAACAACCAAAATTCTCTATGTCTAGGCATGGTTTCAGCTTGCATACTTACCTAAGACAACCTTCCATGGCAGCTCTGAAGATTAAGAGCAGAAATGGTGAAGTAAGCTTGCAAATTCAATCCGAGAAGCTAAAACTATACAGGTTAGTGCTAGCCTCTGCTATTCACTGAAGAACACATGCAGTGCAACTCCTGCCTAGCAAAGCTACTTAACACCAAATAAACAACAACAACAGAAAAAGCCACACTGAAGAAAGGATACTTTGTTCTAGAAGAACCCTCTGCAATATTTTGTATCCTAATATTACATGTCAATGAAATCAAACTCTCCTGCTTATAAAGTGTAGGAGATACCATAATTGCCATATTTTAATGACACCCTTGGCATCTCAACATAAACTCAGCAGAAACTAGAACTCTACTGCCTAACTGCTTTGTAACAGATGCCGTCATGCTGTAGAGAGCGAGCTCATCAGCTGGCAAAGACAAAAAATCCTCACACCTTCCTCAAGATCCAACCCGATAAGATGCTGACTGCCTGACAGATACCATGCCAGTAGATAAAAGCTCAACTGTTCTGGCTTCTGTGCTAAGACTTCCAAGTTTACCTTCCCTCCAGTTAAGTATAATGTTTCCCATTCTTAGTGCCCTAATTAATCATTCTCTCAGATTAACCTGAATTAGGAAGATTTGCACTTCCACAACTTAATAGTCACTCTCTTCTGTGAACTGAAAGCAGATCCTATGCACATTCAAATCAGGCAGACATCCATACCTGATGTTATTTTAGGGTTTTGAACAAATAAGTTTATACAAACCATAATATTCTGAAGGTATATTACTTACCAGCTGCATATCTACTATGTCACTATATCGTATAAGAGCCACTGGAAGAGTCACATCTTCAAAATCAGTCTTGTTATCTGAAAGAGGAGACTAAAAGAGAAAATGTCAGTGATAAGTATCTTGAGCCTATTTGCAAAGCAGGTTAGACCCGAAAAGCAAACTATCCTTTAAATTTCAGTGTATTTGTAGGAAGAAAAAACACCAAAAAAAAAAAAAAAAAAAGAGCTTATTCATCACCTTTTGCAAAAGGTTAATGAAGACTGATGTATTTAAATCAAAACTGGTGATACTACCAACACACCTGGATTCCGAGTTCTTCAAAAATCTTGTGCTTTTATAGTATTACAAAGGATAACCAAAACTCTGGTTTTATTCTCTATGCCTTTGAAACAAAATTAACTTTTCATGATAATCACACAAATTCTGTGATAAACTGCAAATATTTGTACAAACATGTTGCAGCTGTAAAAGAGAACAAAAAAGCAACAGAATTATCCATAAAGATATTTCAAAACGCCTTTTTGTATTTCCAATTTTGGATTACATTTTCCTAGCTTATTTTCGTCACACATGTCTAAAACAGTATCACCCAAGATTACAGGGAGTTCAGAGTACACTAAAATTAAGGAATGATAAAGACAAGCATTCAGGAACATGATTAAAGACACAAGGAACAGATTAAAAATACAATTCAGCTGGAGATACTTTGAGATGATATAACGCAGCACTGCACAGAGCTAACTCAAATGACCCTCTTGGTCTCAGGAACAACAGCCACATGAGTACAGTGCTCTGTGGGGAAGGTTAACCACTCATGCTGGAATCCCACACATTGCCAGGGTCCTCTGCTTTTGGGGTTTCTCTCAACTAGCCTTGCACTGGACCAAACAGATGAGACACACTTTCACTGCAGAAGAAAACTATACTTTGCAACTTACCAGCCTAGGTTTACTGGCAATCAACAGCATTTTAGCACCTAAATTTTGTGCAATTCTTGCTTTCTCCAAAAAAGTGCAGTTTCCTCTCATCACTACAACTGCTTTGTCCTTCATTACGCCAGAAGGAACTTCAGATGAACTGCAGAGTACTGTAGAAGTCAGGTTTTCTAGAGCCCTGAAAGTCTGCAGAGAAGAGGGAGAAAAGGAACATGATGAAAATAGGGTATGTAGAAGACTACATTACTATGCTCCCTAATTTGAGGTTTGCCAGAAAGAGGTGTAGCAGAAAGAAATCATTAATTCAAGAATATAAAATCAGAGCAGCAGTTTCTGCAGCCTGCAATACTGCGGGACATTTAGGGCAGCATATAGCTGATGGAACATCTGGATGTTCCTAAACACAATTTCACAGTGGTTGTTGCTGCGATTGAAACATCAGAAATTGGTTTCTTATCACTGCTTGTAGCTCTGGGGAATCCCACACTGTGTGAATAACTGTGGGAACAACACACTCTGTGTTATTTCCAGGCTTCACAAGCCAAAAGAGCACTAACATATACAACATAACCAGAGTTCTGAAGGATCATACTTGTTCAAAAACAGTTGGGGAACCTGATAACATATGACTTATTACAATTAAAAAAAGAAAAATATTTCTATTTTTATTTCAAAGTTCAGTTTCATACCAGCAATTATTTTAAAATTATTGTCAATTTTCTTAAGTTAGGCAAGACGTCCCTGTGGTCCAAGTAGCACAGCAAAGATGTTTGGGGCAGCAGACATGCTATTTTTACTCTGTTTTACATTGAGCTAACCTGCTAATGAATGACAGGAAAGAAGGCAGAGAAGAAGATCACCTTAATCACTTCCAAGCACAAAATATTTCCTGTTAATATGAAGAATGCCTGAAGAACATTTGGTTTTGCCTCACACCCTAGTTTGGCTCAAAGAAACACACTCAGAAAATATGGCATGATAATACATTCCAGATAATCTCCCATTCCACCATATGGTTTCAAGACAATTAAACAGAACATCAAACTGATGAACCATTGTAAGAAATCTGTTTCACAAGTTTACTTTTTTGTAAACAAATGAACAGAAGTTTTACTCCCAAATCTAAAACTTAAAACATACTGATAATGCCTGAAAACAAACAAACAGTATCAGATGAATATGTAAACATATTTAAAACCCATTCTAAGCACAGAGAGAATATCACCTTTGTGAACTTTAGAAGCTGACTTTTCAAAGTATAGAAAATTTCCCTATAAATTTAGGGGTAGGATACATAATACAGATATGTAACATAGAACACGGATACATAACTCAAAAAGGTAAATGTTCAGTGTAGCATCTATTTAACTCAAAATTCTGAAGATCAGTTATAGCTGACCCAAATTCATTGTGTTTTAGTTTTCTCAGGGAATATTATTATAAACTACTTACAGCATTGTCCAGGCTCTTTGGAAGAGATACCCAATTGGAGTTATAAATTATGCAGTAATCCTTTGTTACTGGAGGTACACCGCTTCCAGAAGCATGCAGGATCCCCTCATCTGCAGTTACCTGCAATAAACCAGTGTTCTGCATTAAACAGAGTATCAGTATATAGACATTCTTCTAAAAAGCTGTTAGGAAAAAAGGGATTCATTCTGTTAATTAGTTTATACAATGACTGATTCCATGAGAGATGGGTAGCTCCAGAAGAGGATAGAAAACTAGTAAGAAACTAGCCACTGTGTAATGCTGCTTATCCTCATTTCAAATACAATGTATTTTTCACATGTACAGTTCATGTCACCCATTATTTCAGATTCTGTACCCTTTATTTGCTAAAAAGTGTTAAAGCTTTACATAGAAAGCAATTAAAACAGTAAAAGTGGATTGAAGTCCTTCCCTCCTTGCAGACTTTAGAATTCCCCCTACTAATAAAGGTATTATATAGCAATTCCTAGAATATATTTTATCAAACTGTAAACACAAAGATATCAACTACTGTACTTTAGGAAGAATTTGTGTGCTTAGGGAAATACTAGTGTCTGTTAGGATTACTCTGACTCTATCACATTAATATGATTTCTCTTACTTACTATACTAATACAAATGAGTTATAAAATTTGTGATAATTTTAGGGATATATTATAGTTCTCCCCAAGCATTAATATGCTAACAAAGGTCAGGTGTCTCAGTGGATACACTAACAAACTAAGGATTAAATGTAGCTACATCTAAGTAGCTACAGTACCACAAAGCAGTGAAAACAAATAAGCACCATTTGTATCTTAAAGAAGAGTCACCTTAAGAAAACTGGGAGATTACCTCATCTTGACAGTTTTTCTTGAGACACAAACCGACCTCAGTATCAGGAAGTACCAATATATTTAATTAAAAATCCTTTTGTAAATTCCAAGTTGTCTGCAAGAACACTGAGATATAAAGCTCGAAGTAGGCATGGGCAAGGGGGGAAAGCCCAAATATTTGTCACATACACAATGCTAATCTTTAATAGTGCTATAGAGGCATTTCTCCTCCAGCTAGCGTATCAGTATTCTGCAGCAAGTGAGAAGCAGAGAGGAAAGAAAAACATGTGACGATATTGTTTCAGAGGTTTATGTCTGCCTGGTTTGAATAGCAAAAAACCTTCTTCAGAGGAATCCATTATATCGGCCACAGCGCATGAACATCTGCTGGGAGAACTGTGTCAAAGGGCCTGAGCACATTAACTGTTTAACATGTAACAGCTCTTCAGCTGTCAGCTCCACTAAGTTGCTGCGTGATTTATGATCAGCACAAAAATTATCAAGCATCCCTTTTAAGTGTGCTCACCTAAGAAGTGCAAACTAATGGCAAATTAAAAGCAATAAAGACTCCCAGCAGGTGCAAACCCCAAATGCTTCCATCCATTAAAAGCTCTTTCTGCTTCACAAAGTAGAATGAGTGTTCTCTGGGTTTTTCAGGAAATCAAGTGTTAATGCTACAGAAGCGTAAGTCTACCTAGAAGGAACGATTACTCGCTTATTTGACACGCATGTTTTGTTTGGCACACGTCCCTGCTCTGGGATGAATCGGGGAACACAATTCTTCCCCATGAGGTGGGGGAGGGAGGACCGGAGTATGACGGTTACCCTCATGATTTGCTGCTAAGCTTTAAAGACAGCATTTAGAAGCTAAAAATGAGGAGAAACACTACATGCTCTTGGAACATCCCCACTAAAATCCTGCTGCATCCAGCTGAACTTTTATTCTTTTCCAATTGCTTCTGTATCCTTCTTTCACAACAGACAAGGGCTACTAGTTTGGGTACGCGGCTTTGCAGTCAGCTGTGCCACTGCACAGTACAAAACAAACCCTCCTCTCGGCATACATGCAAAATAAAAATCTCTTACTGAGCACCTTTTCAATCTTGTTATTGAAGAAGAGTGTCCCCAAAACTGCTCCTGAAAATATTAACCTGTTTCCACAGGCTGACTTGCTCCAGCATAAAAATGTTCCTGTGGGAAGGCATGACAGCTGTCCTTCCCTAAAGGGGCATAATCATCTCCTCTCGCTTCAGGTTCAGATGATTCCCAAACAAAACAAATTTCTTCCTATTTGTGACAGGTGGTTCCCTCATCATATTTCCTCCCTTTACCATCTTTAAATTTTTATTGTATATTTCCTTATCTTTGCCAGAGAAGAAGACATCTCGTACTGTCTCTTTATCCTTACTTTTCCCCACACTGTCCATCTCAGGATACTGTTCTTGAGGCTCAATGACCTGGTCTCATGCTCACCACCACTACACCTGCATTTCTAGGACAAAGGAGGAGGCAGTTCAGGGGGTCTTCCAGGAGGGCAGCAGCAAATGTCATCCAGCAGCAAAGCATTGGGTTAAGGACCAAAGCCACTCTTCAGAAAACCCCAATGCAACTAATGACAGCTACATAAGACTCACAACCAGTCAGGGAGCACTTTGTACAGACACACACTACTTCATTCAAAGACATTCTCAAGGCACCAACAAACTGTGCTGTGCACCTGCTGCTAAGCATATCCAATGCTGACTTCCTACACAGGAAGGTACTCTGCATCCTGCCTTACCAAAACGAGGTAAAAATTATGTTAAAAGCAAGCAAGCAAGCAAAATCCCACCAACAAAACAACTTGGTGGAGCAGCATTTAATACAGGTATGGCCTTCGTACTGCTTAAGCAGCTTACAGAGGTTTCTGACTTCCCAATTTCACTACTCCATGAGACAGAACGCCCCAGATTTCCATGGCAATATACACCTGTGTGCCGGGAGAAGCTGCAAAGATGGCCCATACAGGAGCCAAGATGGCACTTAAGATGAGCAAGCCAAAAGCCAAGACACATATACACACCACGAGCTCCTCCTTCCCCTAATTTAAATACCTCCAGAAAGATCAGCGTTTACCTACACAGGCACCCGTGAGAGTCATTACCCAAACCCACCAACTGACCGGAGCCTGGGCCCGGCCTGCACTCCCGGGCACAGGGGATAGGGCAGGGGCCCAGGGAGTCTGGGGGGGAACCGAGGCCTTGCCCGGGGCATGGCCGGGAGTCCCACAACGTCCCAGGGACACGGTTCGGTTCGCTCTGGGGCGGGGGTGCACACTACTCCAGCCGGGGGAGACGAGCGCGACGCGGACCGTGCCTGCGGCCGGGGAGGTCCTCAACGGAGCGCTTACGGAGGGGTAAAGCGGACAGAGGAAGACCGTCTGCCGGCGGTGGAAGGGGAACGACGGGTGGCCCGGCCGGCTCCGCT